AATTTTTTTTTTGTTGTAGTATATTTATGTTGGCCTCGTTGGCCGAGTGGTCGCAAGTGCGACTGCCGAGCAAGGGGTCCCGGATTCGATTCCCGGGTCGGGCAAAGTATTACTGGGTTTTTAAAAAAATCTCAGTAGTAGCACGGAGTCTGGAATTATGCCCGGTATATGGCAATAGGCTCACCCCCTGTTACATGGGACTCGTAACATAAATAGTGAAAAGTGGGTGTTACATTGTACAGTGGCGTAATGTGCACCTCTGCCTACCCCTTCGGGATAAAAGGCGTGGTGTTATGTTATGTATGTTTATTTATGTTGTGTACATTTATTCACTATTTTATTATTTAAATTCCTCATTTTTAATTTGAATAAAAAAACTATGTTGTACGTTATTATGACGTAATAGGGGAATTATACATGTGACATATAACTAGTTGCCTTTAACAACATGATATGTGAAAAGTGTGTGTTACATCGTTCATGTATTCGTGGACTTTCCCCTATCTCATTGGGGATTAAAATACGGTACATTACGTAATATTGTATTTATGAAATCTTGGTAAGATTAGTTAATAAATATGTTATCCTCTTTTCAATTTAGAATAACTTCGGAGTAACGTATGTATTATGTAGCAGAAATTTGTGTATAAAGAATTACTAAGAATTAGTTAGTACTGTAATATAGACTTTAAATTTATAATATTAGAATAAGATTTCGTTGAGAGGGAAATGAATATTGCTGCTTGCCTCATTAGTCGAGTTGTCACAAATATGTCTGCCTTGCCAGAGCACACATTCGATTCCCGGGTTCGGCATAGAATCCTTAATTTTTTATTTCTTTTTTATGCGATAAGCCGATTACTCATAGCCGACACACGTTGCAAGCGTTGCTTCACGTCGGTTTTCTGTGAGGCCATATTTCTGGTATCACTCCGGTCGAGCCGGCCTATTCGTAACGAAACGTGGCTCTCCCTTATAATAATAAGTTACGGTTTTTCGAAAATATCTCTATAATAGCTTGGGTAAATTGTATTGCACGCAGTATGTCATATTAGACAAATCCACTATTACCTGGGACTTCTATCATATAGTGAAAAGTGATATTACGATTTCATATGTGCAATCTCTGCCTATGGTCTCAAGGAATAAAAAGCATGATATTATGAATATATATAGGTTCATTGTACATTTTATCATTTTTCTTTCATTTTGGGGAAAAAAGATCTCGTCGAATGTTGTGTTTAACCCTTTTATAATATGTTAGAAAAACTGTCCGATCTTCACAGATCCGGTATTATTAGGTATCGTGTGTACATTATACGCACTGAAAGTATGTAATACTATGTACTTAATCTATTTTCTATAACAAGAGCAAAAAAAAAAAATTTGTTTTAGTTTTAATGAAAATAGGATCATATTAACCGAAAATGTTTATTCCTATTCATCTAGGTACCTAATTGTTTAAATCGGAAAAAGTTTAATTTTTCGATGGTACCCATGCTTCGTTTTTTTTATATCACTGGCTTCAATTGTTAAATTGGGCTGAAAAATGAGCGTTTAAAATTATGTCATGTTATTTTTTAGTAGCCATAATTGTCCTACTGCAGGGCAAAGACCTCTCAACTAACGTGTTTGTAAAAATACAAAATACGTCAGTATACTATTGACAGAAGTTGAAAGTAAAAAATATGTTCGAACTTACAGGAAATAAAAAGAAAAATTGAACA